ATTGAATATGAAATTCTCCTCCATTATTCTCTCTCTCATTTCTTGTCTTATTTTGTTCTTATTTGCTCTTCATATTATTTATATTTTATAACACGTTATCAGCATGAATTGGCTCTAAAAATAAGGTATGAGCTTTTAGATTAATGTGTTTTTATATTACATAATTATATTTTATACTATGCTCTATTAACATTCATAGTTATGTTGTTTATGCATTTACTACATTATATTTTATTGTTTTATTTTCCTCTCCTTTCCCTTTTTTTTCACAAAGTGATTTTACATTTCTCCATTTTGTTCCTTTTTTTGGCCAAAAGAAAGTCAATTTTATTAGCAACCAACAAAGAATTATATGTACCAATAATAGAAGCCTAAAAAACAATCAAAACCCTAGCATACAACCTAGCATACAAACTCACAAAACAAACAAACAAACACACAAATGACAACAAACACAACAAAACAACAAGAATAAACTACAAACAATCAACCAACACCTTCCTTCTCAAAAATAGAAGCCAGACTACCATCAACATCCTTACAAACTAGAACACAAATGGAGGATGGAAATGAAGTCAACTAACTAAGTTGCAACATCCTCCTTGAACCCAAAGCTGTTAAGGAATTAATAGTTTTATTCCTAAGTCTTGCAACAAAAGAGAAATAAGTGTCCCATAAAGAGTGCTTAAGACAAATAAGCTCCTGCATCAACTCCTTACTATGCCATACACAACTACTAGCAAAATCACCCGTTATTTTATTATTCAGCTCTTCACGATCCATCTTAAAACACACTTGCAAGCCTAATGCCTTATTCTTGAAGCCCATAGCTCTTTCAAAGCTAAGCACTTTTCCATGAAAGGAGTGTTAGCATAAATGGATTGACCAAAACAACTAAGATGATTGCTAAACACATCCTTACAAATCCCACCCACACCAAGACAAGGAGGAGAAACTTTAAAAGAACCATCAATGTTAAATTTAATAGAACCTTCCAAAGCAGTACCTAGTTAATAGCTCTTCTCACATTAAATAAAGGAATCTTAGCAGGTTTGATATCCTTCTCCTTAACACCCTAAAATTCCTTCACTTGTGCTTACACCATCCTTATAGCAAAATCAAGATCAACCTTGCCCTTACTAAACACCCAGTTGCATATATACTTCCAATTCACCAACACATGGTAACCAAAATAACTTTTCCATGCTCATCAATATTATGATTGCCAATCTCCATTTTGTTCATTTGAAAATAATCACATGATTAGTGATTTAATTTAATCTAGTCTTATCAACCATTCATTATCTTATTTTTATTATTTGTTGTTTTATATTTTTATGAAGATCGATAAACTTAGTTTTCCTTCTTTATGTATATGTGTTTGATGCCATCTTTATTTTTTTAGTCCTCCATTAAATTAATATATGATTTTGTGTTTGTTTATATATATATGTACATATATATTGATCAATTTATGTTGTTAATATATTTTGTTTTATTTGTTAATGTCATGTGAATTATTTACTTTATCAATTAATTTATTTTCTTCATTGCATTTCTTTATTTTTATTATGCTTTATTTGTTTGATAAGTTTGTTTGTTTATATTTGTGTTTTTTTTATTGAGCTTCATTATGAATTATATTTCATGATTTATTTATGGTTATTTATTATTTTAGTGTGTGTGTGTATGATTTTTTTACTATAATATTTATTTATTTATTATGCTTTATTTATTAAATTTTTTATAATTTTAATTGTTATTATTATTTTAGTTTGAACCATGATAAATCTTACCAAACTTGAATTTATGACTCTTGATATTAAATGAAAGAATTTTTTTGTCTAAGGTGCTAGATATTGAAATTTACTTAGATGTCAAAGGTCTAGGAAATGCAATTTTACTTGAAAATGAAGCAACTGGTCAAGATAAGGTGAAGGTAATGATTTTCCTTCATCATGATCTTCATGAAGAGCTAAAAGCTGAACAATTAATAGTAAAAGATCCACTAGAATTGTGGAATAGTTTGACAAAAAGCTATGACCACCAGAAAATGATCATTTTACCAAAAGTATGATATAAATTGATACATTTGAGATTGACAAGATTTTAAAAATATAAATGAATATAATTCAATAGCTTTTAAAATAATTTCTCAATTAAAATTATGTTGTGAGAAAATAACTGATAATGACTTATTAGATAAGACATTTTCAACTTGTCACACTTTAAATATGCTTTACAGCAGCAATATCATGAAAAGGTTTTAAAAAGTATTATGAATCAATATCATGTCTTCTTATGCCTAAACAAAATAATGAACTGTTGATGAAAAATCATAAAATCTATCCCGCTGGATCAGCTCTATTCCCTAAAGCAAATGTGACTATAAGTAATAATTACTATAGTTTGGGTCGCAATCATGGCAGGGGATGTGTTAATTATGATTATCATGTGGTAGGGATACTAATTATAATCCTAATGCCCACCAAAAGATGAAAACTAATGAAGAGCAAAAAAGAGATAAGAGCAATCCTTCAAAAAATGTTGCAAAATCAATGTTATTGGGTGGCATGAAAGGGCATTGGTCACATACATGCCATACACATGAGCATCTAATAAGGCTTTATCAAGCCTCCATAAAAGAGAATTCAAATAATGTAGAAATAAATTTCACTTTTAAAAATGATAATGTTAAGGAAAATTTTATATAAATAATGGTGATATCAATGAGTTGAATAATATTAAAGGCCTTGATACTATGACATACTTGGAAGTAACTGATTTCTTTAAAAATTATTATTAAAAAAGTTTGGTTGAAAAATAATTAGAACAATATGAATTATGTTTTTTTAATATTTTCATTTAGCGTCTTTGTTTTCTTATAATAAAAGCATTATTGTTGAAAATAAATTTTATTAACTATTTATTTTAATACATTTTCTTTCTTTTGTTGAAGAATATGAATATTTCTCTTTCGTTCATTAAACACAATAATGAAGATAAATGTTTCTTGGATAGTGCTACAATGTATACTATACTTAAAGATACAATATATTTTTCTTATTTAACAATAACTGATGGAAGAGTCAATACCATAGTGGGTAAAAGCAAATCAATTAATGGCTCTGGAAGAGCAATTATAATATTACCTAAAGGAACAAAAATTATTATAGATGACACATTATATTCATCTAAGTCTCAAAAAAATTTGCTAAGTTTTAAAAATATATACTGAAATGGATATCATATTGAGACTACAATTGAGAAAGATGTTGAATATCTGCATATTATAGGTTTTAGATTTGGAAAAAAAATGTGTCCTAGAAAAATTATCCACATTATTTTCTAGTTTGTACTTTGTACTGTACAATTATTAGTACCATTGAAATAAATGCAATAGTAAACAAGAAGTTTACTAATTAAGATACATTTATTGTAATATCCTGAATTTTAATCCCTGAATTAACTAAGCTTAATCATAAAAATTAAGTAAATTAATGTGGTGTATGGCTAAGGGGGTTTAATGAATAGTTTTAATTGTGTTTCAACCCTAATTATGGGTCTGGTGTAAAGTTGGGACACTTGGGCATTGAAAGGAGAAGAAAGTAAAGATGAAGTGTTGTTGTGCCACACGTTGCAGTATGAAATGCGTCCGCTGTGGTGCACAGACATAATTAAAGAGAGAAGAAGACCTCTTTGTGCCATGTGCAACGGCACATAGTCATTTTCTACAGATTAAGAGTCGCGAATTGAATCAAAAATAGAGAATAGAGAAGAGGAAACAAAGAACCACAAGGAGCTTTGCTAGGGTTTATTCCTTAATGATTTTGAAAATATTTCAAGGCTACTGAACATTAAAGGTAAGTATCCTACACTCATTGCTTCCTATCTCTTCCATAATTATGAAATTTATGGATAGGGTTTAGCAGTAGAAGATGATTTTCGGGTCATATAGGTTATGGGTTCAAATCCATTGACTCAAATAGAGTTAATGAGAGTAGAATTGAGTATTTAAACTTAGAAATAATGGATTTTGGGATTTTTGATTGTTGAACCCTATTAATATGTAAGTTTAGCATTAATAAGGGTTATTAGAAGAGTATAATGCCATTAATGAGAGTTTAATGGCTCGATAATATTATTAGGGACCAAAAGAAGTTAATAAATCTAATGGGTAAGCCTAAATGGTGAAATTGATGTTGTTGGAAAAATGAAAAAGTGAAAGTGTGAATTGATAGTGTGGTCTTGACAATGATAATGAAGAATAAATTAATTGTAGATTAAGCTTTTAAACACTAATTTGGCTTGGGATTCCAAGCTTGGGAGCTTATAATATTGAGGGGTAAACTTTTGACCTTTCAAAGGTTTGAAATAATTAGGAAAACCCTACTTTGGGTAGTTATATATTAATTACAATATGATGTGAATTATATGTTAACATGTGAGTTATGACTTGTGAATGCGTGTAACATGCAATGAAACTTTGTGTTTACATAATTGTTTTGACATGTATCAAGCATGCGAAAGTGATATTCGAAATGAATTGCACTTTACAAGGTGGTTTGAATAAGCAGTTAATGATGAACTTGATCAAGATGAGTTTGTGAATTGAAAATGATGGGTTTTATGTAATATAAGCCAAAATGAGACTTAATATTCACTTGGGTAGTACACGATTATGAGCCCAACATGTTAATTTTGATGATGAACAAATGAGATTGTGGAAGATGAATGAGTATCGTACATGACATGATCAGTAATGAGAGTTCACCTAGGGATTAGGGAAAGAGAAAAATTCATATAATGTTTAGGCTACTCTTCGATGCACGGGGGTATAGTCTTGTCCCACAGTTTGTTGAAGGACTGTCCCACAATTTATCAAGGGATCAAAACCAAATTTTCTCCACCAATTTATCGAGAAAAATAACTTAAAATATATGACACCCCAGAGATTTGAAAGTGGGGGAAACTGTGGTCTGAAAATGAATCATGTAATCTTTGATTGAATTATATATCATAATTGATAAATTTGGGTGGTCCAGTAGGATAACTAAAAAGTACAAATGAATCCAAACCAATTCATCTTAATCGCGTTGAGAAAAGATATTGAACACCAATTCATCTTCTGACAGAGTCTCCACCACTGCTCTTATTTTTAACAACGTTATTATTCATTTTTAACAATGTTAAAAAAATCCGTTTCGGCGTAACGATACACCGTCCTAGAGCCTGGAGGTAAGTTTTGACGAGATCATATCCTGCCTAATATATCATGCCAAACAAGCAGCGTTTTTTGAAGCTATGATCAGTACAATTTCCGAGTGGAATATACTCTGACAACATGTAGGGCAATAACAATATTGCGATGCAAAATCATCATGAAGTTGCTGTATGATAGTCAAGGTTGCCCTAGCAGAGAAGGCCTGTAGAAATCATGGCTCTGTGCAATCTCAATCCGTTCACGGGGATCATTTAGATTCTCATCCCTCAGAGCTTCCAGAATTGCTTGTGATGACTCTTCCCTGACAATTCCAACATTCAGCATTTAAACCCCGCCAAGTGTGCCGAAATAATAAGCTTAACATTCAGCACAAAACCAAGACTACAATTGCCGATTGCAGAAAATTACCTCAATATCAGTATTTTATGCAGTGTTTTTAAGATAGGGCAGAGCTCCACCGGAGCAACGGGCTTGTTTTCTTCAGGATGCAACACGTTCAGGCTTGACTGACTCAAAAGTTGAAAGAATGCTTCTACTGCTGATACACCCTGTTCAAATATATATATATATATATATATATTGCAGGGTCAACAATTCTTTCTCACTCGGCAAAAGTTGAATGAACGGTGTTGAGAATGCCAAAGACCATTTCAAGTTCTCGAGCATAAGATGCTTCATATAGAGGAAGCATGTAGAGAATGCCAAAGACCATTTCAGTGAAATCACGAAACATACCTGAATCATTCCTTTGCCAGTAATGCTGTCTCCCATGTCAGGTCGGAGTTCACCCTTGGCCAACATTTGACCGTACCAGGCATTGCGACCCTTTAACAAGGTTACATATGTGTCGGCCAACAATGGCCCTGCTAGTTTCTCCGGTTCTTCAGCCAACAAGTGAGTGATGAATATCATCTCTGACGTGCAATGTGCGAAGTACACAGATTTGCTGGTGGCACTCTCGTTGGTAAGTGCTGCTACCATTCCTGACAACATCAAAGGGTCAATCAGAAACCGAGTGGTGGTAGTGTAAGCACTGATCTGCAAGCTTGACATCAGTTGAAAAGCTAGAAAGACTAGTTTGATGCTTAATTTACCAGCTCCGATTGCATAGACATTTTTCAAGCCACCCATGACCTCATGTGTGACGAGGTCACTGTTGTCCCAGACAATGAATTGAGGTTGTCGTAGGAACTTTGCAAGAGGTTTCCTCCACTTCTCAGCTCCGCATATTCGAGCATTGGCATACTCTTTGTTATAGATTTCTGAGGCGATGTTTGGACCACCAAGATAAAGTATGTTCTCCATAGGCACTCCAGCTGTCAAGTATCCACAGTGAACACTCGAGAATGAAGAACAATTGGGTGTTAGGAAAGGAAAATATGGCGATAGAAAATATGATGGAAAAGATAACGATGTGCTAATTTCGCTTTCTGGGTTTCAAATAAAATTGGGATAATCAGCACTAGTAAACTAGCTTCCATGTTAAAATTTGGATAAAGTTTGTTCGATCAGTTTCCCAAGAATGAAGATAAACAAGAAAGATTAGCACTCTGGGTGAAATTGACAATAGTACTGCGCTAAGTTTCTTTGCTGTGTTGAATTTCCAACTGTATTCACCACTAGTTGAACATTAATTCATGAAGCATGCAGTACATCTACGAACCATATTGACAACGATGAAAAGCAGTTGGACGTTTCATTCTAAACCCCAGTGAAAATTAGGGACCAGAGTTACCGAATTGCTGTTAATAATTTTCCTTTTGTTATTGAAGGTTTCATCTAATAGAACTTCCAGAAATCATGTGAGTACTGAGTAGCTATTCAAATACAATATTTTCATCAGAAGAGGATTGATTCTTAGCATCTTTCAGATGTAAGCTCAAAAAGATATACATAGGACTCGTGATATCATTTGTTCCCATAATGCATTGAAAGGAAAAAGAAGGAAGATAGTGTTCACAGTCTTCCTTCTACAGTCTTCTTTCTTTGGTGTATGATGGTTCTATCCTAGCAAAGGCAAGGAAGGGATTATGGAGAAAAGATAACCAGTAGATAAAACAAGAAAAGTCTTACTTGCTTGATTAATCATTTTTGTAGGAGTTATAATATGGGGAAAAGGCTCCAAAGCTGCTTCTATGCCCTTAGCTAAAGAGATTATAATAGGCATTGTGATTCTCTCCTTCCAGTACTTACTAATCTCTTCAAAAATCTCCCTGGTTTCAGTGGAAGGCAAGCCATTGACGACTATATCAGCATCCCAAACAGCTTCCTGCAAGTTGGTGACCACCTTCAAGGGACAAAGTGGCGTATCGATCATGTTCAAGCAAAACCCATCCTTCAAAATCTCATCGGCAAGAAGAGTCCTATCCCCAAGTCTTGCCTCAACATATTTCAGATAAGCACATCGTCGAATCAGCCTCCTCAGCACATCTTCCCTCGAGTTTATGACCTCAAACAGATGCTCTGCTGTGGCTCTATCCACTGCTCTTCCCGCTCTTCTCCATATCCTGATTTGTACCTTATCCCTGAATTGGCCGTACGTATCCTGAAGCAGAGCAGCGAAAACACTTCCCCAAGCACCGGCACCAACGCTCACAATTCGCAAAGGATCGCCATTAGCTTTCCCAAGAAGCGCTCGAAGATCATCGAGTTTCTCTTCCAAACCATTACAATTCTGGACAGATCCATTAGAGTATGCATGACGGATCACTCCCATTATGCTTCCCACCAGGATCTAACACAAGGGATTTAAGTATAACAAGCAAGAACTGAATTCGACGGTGCTTTTTTTTGTTTTTGGCATCTAATCCATGATTTACCTACTGATTATATAGCCTGGTGTAAGAACTTTCGCTTTCTGCGAGCCCAACTACTGATTCTTTTGTTTTCTTTTGACCACAAGTTTCTGTATCAGAAGACGCAGCGACAATCAAATCTTATTGGTAGATATTGCTTGACCAACACTCAGCTAATATTTGGTCTTCCTTTCCAGAATTTGCGACCAAAGAAACGAAACTTCCACCTCCCTAAATTTTAGTAATATGAACAGAGTTAAGGAAGGAATTAAAGCAGACCCATTTTATATTCTGAGTTTCCAAGCAGCACATGTCAAAGCGCAAGGGAGAACAGAGTAAAAAACAAAAAACTTGAATCGCAGCTACGTTTTCTCCGCCCGGAGTCGTTCATCCACCCAACCATAAATGACAGCAGAATATTGAAATAATAAAAAAGTAGGAATCCACCAATAAGAAAAAGGAGGTTTCGTGTGGGAAATTACCAAGTGATGTTTTGAAAACAATAAAAGGGTTGCAAGCCAAAACAATGACCAGGCTCGTTAATTAGTAGAGAGTACTGGTGATAAATCGAAGAAGCGACATTTATTGGGGGAAAGCGGAAGCAAAAAGGTGTAGAAGAAGAGTGAGAAGAGGCGGTGTGGTTGAGTTGGGAGGTGGCAGAGGGTGGATGCATTAAAGGTTAACTGGTGTTGCCAACCTCCCCAACGGTCATTAATATTGGATGACTCTGTTTCTGCCTTCCATGTGTCTTTTATGAAGTGCCCATCACTTCCATTCTCCACCTTCCTTTCTTTTCCATCAATTCAGTTCTTTTTCCCCTTTAGCCTCCCATGTTCTCCATCTATTCAAATCTATTACACTTTAATACATGCCTCATTTGGGATCCCCTCCTTTTTTAAAAAAGAAAAAAAATGAACCCTTAATATTTTTCTATCAGAAAGGAAAACACATATACCTACGCATGCATACAAGCGTGTTATTGTTAAGCTGAAACCCAGGACCTCTTCTCGATGAGGGAGGTGACATTATTATGAGGATAACTAACCGTTGACATCCCATCCTATTTCCTTTTATTAGAAGATTTTGAGAAGGTTATTATAATTTTATCTATAAAAAAAATAACTACTAACTCTATTTCAAACAATAAGATATTTTTAAAAGAAATTTATCATTTCAAAATATATAAAAATAAAGTTTTATTGATGATATGTTTTTAATGTTACCCTTCCCATTATAGTCCCTCTATCTAATATTCTTTCATAATCTTTAGAAGTTCATATTGTTGTTTTGAAAAAAATAAAATTGTAAAATATATTTAATAAATTTTATTAATATATATAATTTTATCCACTATATCTAATATATTGAGACGAGGAAGTATTTCTCATCTAAAATATTGATTAATTTTATATCTTTATTAAAAATAATTAATGAGATCAATAATTAAAAGCTACCTATCAATTATTAAATGAGAGTAATTTTTGAATGATCTTATATTTATATTATGTTTATTGATTTAACTAATTTTAACTGCATTCCTTAATCCTCGTAAATTGGTTCTCTATTTTTCATAAGAAGTACTGGATACTGGATGGGGTGTAAAATTTATACTGAATCATATTAATGTTTACGTGTAAATGTCATCATATTTGTTTGTATAACAAATGACAAAAATAAAAAAGAAGAAAGCTTAAATCTATAATTTATTGCACTTTTTCCAATCAAATTAAAATACAGGAAGTTTAAATTTAAAAATAAGTTAAAAATGCTAATGACAATAAAATAATTATAATAAGTACTCCCTCCCTTTGTTTCATAATAAGATTAAAAAAAATATTTTCCATGGTTAAAAATAATGTCATTCCACATGGAAAAAATAACAAGTATCATTTTAAAATTTTTAGAATGTATTAAATGTTCAAGAAAGTTGTTTAAAGAGACTCAACTAACAAAGTTATTGTGCTAAAAGATTGAAATTTTTTTAAGGAATGAGGTCCTTTAGAAGAAAAAAGATTGGTATTTAGATTGCCAAAATGCCCTTGCAACAATCCCAAGCTTCTCTTAACCTCAATGTCATGTAACCTCCTCAAATTTTAATTTAGCTATTTAAGTTTGATTAGATCAATTAAGTTTATTAGTGAGGTGTGTGGCCAGAGAAGTTTAACAAGTGTATTTGGTTGTAATTTTAGCCTGAAACGCGAGTTCGAAGTGAAGTTGAGTCACTTAAACATGAAAGAGGAAGAAAAATAGAAGGGCAAAGTTCCATCCATGCACCGTTAATAACATTTTAAGGGTTCAACAAAGTTAATATGAGTCAAGGGAAACTAAAAAAAAATCCTATGGATACTTTTATATGAGTAGAGTATGAATCTTAGGAGTTAATAAGTGTTTGAGTTAATACTAAAAAATTATCCAAAGATGGATATTGATGAATTGTATTGTGATTAATTGTAGAATGACTATTTTTGCACCATTCAAGTTTTGTGGAAGCTTTGGAAGTGAGTATTTAAGGGGTAAAACATTTGACCTCTCAAAGGTTTAAGGTAATCGAGAGAATACTACCTTGTGTTTTGTGTGTTAATTAGTTTATTTTTTAATACTTGATAATTGAAATGTGTGAAATTAAATGAAATGCAAGTGTGGCATAAATCACTTGAAAATCAACTATGATAATTTTTGCAAAGTTTAGTGACACATTATATGCAAAATTCTTTAAAAAAACCATTAATGGATTATTGTGAAATGATTTTCTTGGAGTTCAATGATTGTGTGTTAAATGAAGTCAATGACTTGGTATGTGAATGGTTCAATGAAATCAAATTTATAAAGTTCAATGATGAGATATAGGTGGGGTTCAATGAAATAAGTTTGTAAATAAGGAGTTACAATGAATTCATAATTGAGGAGTCCAATGAGATTGATAAAGTAGAGTTCAATGATTTAATTGTTTGTATTATATGATTTTCATATGTGAAATGGGTACAATCATGTTGTTGTGCATGCTTGTGTAGTGAATGCTTGCATGCTATGAATTATGGCATAAATATACATCGCATAATCTTGAGAGGTGAGAGTTCATCTAGGAATGAGAGTAAAGAATTAAATCCACATTGTCTGAAGTGTTTATATATATATATATATTATCCTATTTATTCAACGAGGAATTGTTTAACTAATTTAATGAGGGACTCAAACCTAACTAGCTATCCACTTGTTCAACAAGAAAGCTAATCTAGGGAGAATGATACCTCATAGTGTGAGAAATAGGGGAAATCGTGTCTCACAAGTGAGTTAGGAAAACCTTAGCAGATAACCCTTCACACATGTTTAGGCTATGGAAGTCTTTGATTATAGACGATCCTAATGTGTTAAAGTTTGTGGTTTTGTGTCAGAGGAACAAGAGGATATAAGGGAGGTGTGATCATGCATATAATGAAAAAAGGTCTATGTTTGTTTGTATTGTGACTCTAATGATGAAAATTGTGAGTTTAGCCTTTTTCCATGTGAAGATATAATAATAGATCATGTAATTAGTTCCTTTCTTTTATGAAGTTGTTTACTAATCATGTTCTCTTGAGTATGCGCTATGAAGTGTGAAAATGTGGATTTATGCTCTTGAGTATGTTGTATGATTTGAAAATTGCTTAATAACTTGTCACTTGCATTTAAATTAATTGGCATGCATTAGCATGAATTAATTAGACCTTAGTTAGTGAGTGGTTGTACTTACCCCACTATCTTCAGTATCACAGGAAATAGCTTAAGAGGATTGAACAGACGAAACAACTACTAGCCTAAGAGGATCGGACAGAGGAAACAACTAGGGGCATAGCATTAACATCCTAATAGCAGGCCTCTTTATCTTTTGTTTGTATATGTGTATATGATGATTGATATTGCCAACTAGGACTAATCCATTTGGAACTTATATTACGTGTCTTATGAATTATAAAGTGTATTTTGAGCTCTAGTGTGTTTGTATGATAATTAGATATCTATAGTACGGCTAAAATACCAGTGCAAGTAAGAATAGAGTATAATATGTGATTTTTGTGGATTATTTAATGAAATGTGAGATTTAAGCTCCTTTTTTTGTTTTTGAGATTAAAGGGTTGAGCATTGAAATTGTCATTCATAAGTATTTTAAATGTTAAGGTGCGTTGCCTAAGTTCGTTTTAGTCTATTGCATGTGGTATAGTGGTGTTTATGACTTTCAGCTTATGTTTTGAACACTTAGTTTTGTGAAAAGTAATGAAAAAGTGAGAAATTTAAAATGAGTGTCTAATTTTTGAATGAGTAATAATTTGAGTTTGAAACCAAAAGTCATTAGTTAAATCTTGGAAAAATATTTCTGTAAACACCTATTTCTCATCAATTGGACGTCGAATGGAAATTTAAGGCGTGTCAAAAGTTACTCCAAATATTGTCAATTTGACAGCAAAATTTTCCTTTCATGGAACATGAAATGCACCGCGACACATTGTGCCATAAGCAGTAGCCCATGGCACAGAGGCTCATAAGCCGTGGTGCGAGTTCCATAAGCTGCAGTACATGTATCTAAATTTGTAGAATTTTATTATTTTATTATTTTTGAATAAATGCATTGATCCTTTTAATGATACCATGTTTCTGCATAATTAATAAACTCTAATTTTTCATTTGTATAACTTTTGAGGTATTTTAAAACATTAAAAATTTTGGGATCTTATCTTTATATTTCATTTATAAAGTTGACAAACTTATTGATTTCTTTAAGTAAATCTTGAATCAAGTGGGAATATGGGTTATATATATATATATATATATATATTGAGTAAGGAGATTACATGTCACATATAGCTCCTCCTCCTCTATTGTTGATTGTGACCTCACATAGCTCCTCCTCTTCCTCCGCTATCTCCTGTGACCTTACACATGGCATGGTGTTTTGAACTCTTAGAAGCCAAAACCTCTCTAGTTAACTCCTTTCCTTTAGTTCATATAGTTCAAGTTGTCATGGCTTGAGTCCTCGACAAAGAGGGGAAATTTTAGTTGAGTCACACCAAGAGTTATTGGACAGTAATATTAGAAAATGGCTCAACCCTTGTAAAAAAAGATTAACCCCGTAAGGACCTAAAATCAGTTGCCATGAGGGTGATCAAATAAGAGCTTGGCTTTGTGGTTTTTAGGTCTCACGTCGATTTAGACATCTCTAAAATCCAACATTCAATTGAGGCAATTTTAGTGTCTACAGAGAGCTTCCTTCTAGCTTTAGCTAATGACACTAATTTCACAATTAAATTATTTGTCAGCAAGCATTGGATACCCATTTCATAAATTCACTCTTTTTCACAATTCAAACACATCTTAGGTGTCCTAATTTCATAACAAGTTCTAAAAGCCTCAAATCCACCTTAGACCATGCACAACAGACTATCAGAAACTTATACAATACATCACATCTTACAAACATCATATATAACACATTTTCAATACTCAATTCCTTAATCATAAAAACATAAAGGGAGCTCTAATAGCATAATGCATTCATAAATTATCATACCCAATCAACATACCCTCATATTTGCCCACCTTTCACTTGTACTAGTATTTTGACACTTTCTAGATTTCACAATTAACAAATACATA